GAAACACATGTTCAATAGAATGGTCAACTGAGAAAATATATATTTTCAGATGTATACATCGTCAATCGTCATTGTCTATATTTATATAATTCACTAAACATTCCTGATGAATTAAAATTTTGTCTATTTGTGCTTATGCAATTGTATTAATTGAACGTTCGTGTTAGATTAAAATTTCACTTATATATATTTACATAATTATATTGATTACAGATTTTTGACGAATTAAAACTTCATTTATTGACATTTATACAATTGTATTAATTAAATGTTCGTATTGAATTAAAATTTCATTTATTTATATTTATATAATTATATTCATTAAAAGATTTTGATAAAGTAAATTTCATTTATTTAATTATAGTTTATGCATATTTCTGTTTGAATAGTATGTCTACGCCAAAATCTTCTTCTTCGACTGATGTTGAAAATGATACATCAGACATCGTGTTAATTATTCCTGACAATTTTAATAGTTTATTACTTGATACTGAAATGACAGGCGACAAAATCCATAACCTGTTAAAAAAAAAAACTTTAGCAATTGTCAGTTCTTCTAAAACCCATACTGCCGCATGCTGGAAGCGGTTTGGGTTTCCTGCTGCGATTGATCAAAATGGGAATGTTATGAAGAAATTTAGTAACTTTGTTTCATGCCGAGATTGTTTGGCTACGTATTGTTTTAAGTCTAATAGTACAAGTCATATGAACAAGCACAAATGTGGAAATTTATCATCTTTATCTTCACAATCTTTAAAGCAATCAAAGATTGCTTCCTATGCTTCAAATTCACCACAATCTGCTAAACTTAAAGAATGTGAAAGAAATAAAATAAAGAATTTATTGGTTGAATGGGTATGCACTGATATTCGACCTTTTTCAATCATTAACGACAATGGTTTACATTCTCTTGTTCAAGAGTGTATTTCACTCGGTATTCTTTATTTATATAAATATTCCATCATTTATTCTTTTATGCTATAATAGGTTCAAGATATGGAAATATTTCTGTTGATCATGTTTTATATAGTGCTCATAGTACGTCTTTACATGTTGCTAAATTAGCTGATGAATATCGATTGAAAATTCGACAAGAATTAATCGAACCTTTAGATAATCAAGCTGTAACTGTATGTCCAGATTTATGGACAGATCCATATCGGCAAATTTCTTACTTAGGTATATCTGTATGTTTTACTAATAGTCAATATCAATTTTTCACGTATGATCTTTGTTGTTCTCCATTTGTTGAAAACAATAAAACTGCTTCAAGTATTATTGCTGTGAGTTTTTTCTCTTTTCAAGTGCACCGCTATTTTTTCACTTTCTAGGCTATTAAAAAAGCTCTTGAACCTTTTGGAATCACAGATTTAACAAAACTCAATTTTGTTTCAGACCGTGGTGCAAATCTAGTCAAGGCACTTAAACCATATTCAACTATGAATTGTGTTGCTCATCGATTTAATAATGTTGTTAAAGCCAGTTTTTACCAAACAGTACGAAAAAAACGTACAAATAATAAAACTGTTCCATGCCAATCTCAAAGACTTGAATTAACATCCTCATCTGATTCAGAAAGTGATATTGAAGTTGATGAAGGTCAATATGTGAATAATGGTGATGAACAAGAAAATAAAGGTGTTGGTGGTGATAAAGTTAGTGGTGATAAAAATGGTTGTGATAAAGGTGTTCGATGTGCAACATCATCATGCATAATTGATTATTCCACCATTAAATTATCTGATATTCCATCAGCTGCATTAAATATTCTTAATATGATTCGATCGTGCAAATCATTGGTTAGATATGTGAAGAAGGTGAGACACAAGCAACTAATTCTAGCGGTAAAACATGAGAAAAGATATGGGACATTTTCAGCAAGTCTTGTAAATATACGTAATATACTTGATTGTAAATATAAATGCAGTTGATAGCAATATGAGAAGAATAGATGGAATCGTTTCTTCATAGAAGGATGGTCATTAGATATTCCAAAAGAGGCACCTTTGTTTGAAGAAGCATATTTTAAAGACAACCATTAGTTAACCTTCTAAATGATACCTTTCGCCTGTTTGCCGAATAAATACTAAGATGAAACGTTTTCCGAGATGAAAACAAATGTGTAGTGCTCATGTATTATCGTCCGACATTGCTGGTACTGCTTGTACAACTTTTATGTGTTTGTCTTTTCTAGAATGGACTCAATAAATCCATTCAAGATCAAGGTGGTCTAGCTCTAGTACAATCAACTGTAATAAGGTGGTTGTCGTTCATTTCACTTCTTGAATCAATAAAAAAGTCATATAAACAAGTAAAGAAAGTTTTATATGAGAAGAAAAAAACATTTTCATTGGATAAAATGATTATTTCACAACTTATTTGCCTGTTAAAACCATTTAAACATGTCTTAGTTATCGTTCAACAAGGAAAAACTCCTTCATTACATTTAGTAACAATTGCTGTTTTAACGCTTCGTCAAGCGTTACAAACACACACATCGTTGATTGAATATAGCAAAAAATATGGAATTAATTCATCTTCAACAACAGAAGATGTAAGTGAAAATGAAGAGGAGTGTCTTGAAGAGGCAGAAGGTAATTGTTTATATATAATATATAAAAACAATATTCTTTGTCGTTTGTGCAGGGATACGGTTTTTTCGTTTACGTATATATCAACTACTTAATTCTATGTTTCAACTGAAACCAATTCATCTAGCCGCTACACTTTTACACCCCCGATATCGGCTGCTGAAAAAATGTTCTTTATATGAAGTACGAGAATGTCATTTATATATTCGTCAACGTATGGCACAAATCAAGGCAATGGAAAAGAACCAATCGAAATCTGATGGTCCAGAAAAACATTCTTTAATAGTTGATAATGAAATATTAGCTGAACCAGCCAAGAAAAAACCAAAACGATTTGGAGAAGATTTTGAAACTGGAAATCTTAGTGATGAATTTGATAATGAAAGTGATGATGAATTAAACAAGTACTTAGAACAGCGAATTGATATCGAATCAATCGATGATAATCCTTTAGCATTTTGGTACGAGCATCGATTTATTTATCCTATTTTATCTCGACTTGCGCGTTCGATTTACTCCATTCCAGGTAGTACGGCTAATGTTGAACGACAATTTAGTGCAACTGGAATGATGATTACTTCACGACGTACTAAATTAAATCCTGAACAAATTAATAATGCTATGTTTTTACGTTCAGTAAACAAAAACAAGTGATGGGTTTTGTTTTTATATTTAAATATTTTTTTTTATTTGGAAATTGTGATTATGTATCTGAAATATGCATTTTTATTTGATGAAATAAAATAATGATTATGAACATCTACTGAAAAGTTTATAAATAAATGGTCTCTGAAAACAGATTTGAAATGAGACGGGACGGGACGGTGGCGGTGTGGGTACTGACGGGACGAGGCGGTGGAGGTACCGAACTTTATCGGCGGGACGGGACGGGGCGGTGGCGATGTGACTTTTTTGCTGCCCCGTCCATCTCTGCTACAGATCAGTTTGATTATTTAGAAGCTTGTCCTACGAAACCCATTTCTGCTTCCGAACATGACATTGTGACAAAAGCTCCTATTGATTTCAAATCAGAAGAGAAACAAGAAAATACATCTAATAATGATCCATTCGCACATTTTCGTTTCGCATGTCGACGACGTGTTTCTTCTTCTGATGAAGATGAAGCCACTGTTGTATTGGATCCACCTCCACCACCTCCACCATTACCCATTATTTCCGATTCAGTCAATGAATCGATATTTCCTCGCCCTATTAAAATATCTCGAGAAAAGCCTCGACCAATGATTAGTTATAACCATGCTTCCAAACCAATTTGCACTGACATTTATAACAGCTAGACAAGTGATGGCTATAACGTATGGATTGATTTAAAACATATGCACGGAAATACTTTAGTTGCAATGGCACAAGCTATTGAAGACTCGGATATAATTCTCTTCTGTGTAACCGAAAAGTATAGTCAATCACTTAATTGTCAAAAAGAAGCTGAATATGCATTTGTTCAACAAAAGATTATGATTCCATTACTTTTACAATCGAATTATAAACCGACAGGTTGGTTAGGACTTCTCATGGGTACCAGTCTATATATTGACTTTACCAAGAATGACTTTACTCAGAATTATTCAAAGCTGATACATGAAATTGCAGCAAATGCAATGCGTATAACTAGCAATAAAAATGATGTTCCGAGATTAACATCAAATTCAACTACGAATAATGAAAAAACCCACAGAGAAACTGATAGTCCTCGACCGCAATTGACGACGGCAAAGACAGAGTTGACTGTAAGAAAGTCACGTAGTTGTGTTCTCTTTTAGTTAGAATGCTTGTTTTTCTCGTCTACCAAAATTGGACCTATCGAGTGTAGGTGCTGCATATATAAGTCAAAAGAAACTTAATTTTTTTGTATAAAATATTTTTTTTTATGATTTACTGTCTCCTATGAGCCAAACTTGAATAGAAAATTGTTTTGTGCATACATGTGTTATTCTAACACAAAGAAAACTTCCAACTCATTAGCTGTTCCTCAAATTAAGTTCTACAAAAAAAAGGCAAATTGTATAGTGTGATCACTGGTAAGTATTAAAAGTTTTCATCTACGTATATTATCTTTTTATTAATGGAGGTTCTGCCAGGCATATGATTGGTATTTTTGAATTAATCTCTTATTGTTTCTTACTAAATCTCTCTTATTCTTCAAGTTTTCTGATCTTAAGGATTCTTTTACTCTCTTTTGTTATATCAGTTTTTGACCTGATATCGTCTTCTGTACTCGTTGAACTATTTCTATAGCTACTTCATGATTGCCGGTGGATTTCAAGCGATTCACATGAATGAATCGGACATTTGAGTAGAACAGCTGACAAAATCTAGAGAAATCCTGGTCAAGGATTCCCTCTTGAGTTCAACGATTGAACCTTAATTAAATAGTCGCATATAAGTTTCTATCTTACGCTAATACTAGAGTGTAATTGTAAACAAACAGAATGTTCACAACTACGGGTGTGGGTGTTACCGAATGGTGTCTGTCTCCTACTGACATATATGCCTCATCCTGTGAGGATGAAATTTTCGCGTAGGTGTACCTGCGTGAAGACATATTTCTTTTCGTTTCACTACTTGGGATTATTTTGGAAATGTGGAATAACGTACAGTAAGCTAGTAGAGTATAGCCAAGCAAGACCTCTGAAAATTCCCTCCAATATGTGCTTTGTTATGATGAATGTTACATTGGCTTCACTTTCTAATACGTTTTATTTGTGCGGTGATTCGTATTTATTCTTAACCTTCTTGCTGATCGAATAAATGCGCAGAAAAAGTTGCTTTGTTGTTATGTTGTTTGAATAAAAAAATATTTGAAGGAAAAAAAAAGATGCTGTCTGCTGCGCACCTCTTACATACAAGTCATTCAAACTAAATTTCTTTATTTTCTCCTTATGAGGTAAGAGTTTTTATACATGTTCGGGCAATAAAACAACGTAAAAAATCGAATTAAAATAAGTATCAATTTAGTTGTAAGATATCGTAGCTATGTGAAAAAATTTCTTTTTAAACTGAAAATAAGATCCGATAAATGAAGACATACGATAGGTTATTCGTTTTCTACGGTATTATGTTGACCCATCGTAAGAAAGTCAATTCGCGTAGTTTCGTTGTCCCTAAAATTTAATCACTGCATTTTTCTCAGTCTATACGTATCAATATAAAACATTTATTTACATGGACAAACTTGACGAATACTATTCAAAGTTATAGCTTTCGATTGAAATATAACAATCAGTCAACGTTTGGTTCAAAAGAAACGCTCGTGTTTCTCTTTCAAAATTCTAATTTGCACTTTTATTATATTTATATCAGCCCAATCTTATGCTTCCTTTCATACACATTTATTTTGATAGAATACTGTAAAAAAAAATCCGAATAGTATGAATTTCGTTAATCATGAAAGCCATGGGTCGACTTACCTGATACAGTTCACCAATAATCGTTTCAAAATTTTAACGAATCTTCTCACTTCATAATCATCGTAATGTGTACTCTTACGGCTGTGGTTGCTGTACTATAACAAAAGCAATGTGTACAAATCATAGTGTATGATGTTATCAGTATTAGGATGTATCTGTAGGACGGGAGTGTAAATGCGGAGCATAGTGTAATGATAAATAATAAGAGAGAAGTAGCTTCCCGCCATCCTTGATAATGATGTTCATTAGCTACTTAACATCTCCAGATTGTGTCTCTTGCACATTCAACGCATACTTATATATGATACAGAAACAAAGAGAGAGACGACACAGAAAGAACAATANAAGAAGAATATAAAAAAACTTTCGACAAACTGTTAGAAAGGATGGAACTTTGTATAAATAATCATGGGGACTATTTTGAACATTTAATAAAATAAAACTCGAACTTTCTCTTTTTCTTTAACTTTTTTTTTTTTAAATTGCAGAACTTTTGGTCAGACCTAAGTAATATATAAAAAATGATGTAGGTTGTTTTTACTAAGTCTTGTTTATAGAAAGCTTAAACTTGAAAACAAATAAAAAGGATGGTAGATAGCGATACCATAAAGGATAGTTGGTGATGTCTATACAAAAGAGTGGCACTGGACATTTCAAGAGAAGTACTTTTGTTTGATAAAGTATTGTTGAGAGACGATTATTACTAAAACAGTCCAAATAAGACATTTTATTTCTGTTCCAAATTGATATTAAGATGAAACATTTCCTTGTATGCAAACCAATATGTAGTATACATGTATGAGCGTTCGACATTACTAGTATTGTTTATACAACTTTTATATATTTGCTTTTTCTAGAATGGACGTAATAAATTAATTCAAGATCATGGTGGTTTAGCTATTGTACAATCAACAATTGTACGATGGGTATCATTAATTTCACTTCTTGAATCAATACCACAATCGTATAAACAAGTAAAGAAGGTGTTAGTCGAGAGAAAAAAATCATTTGTATTGGATAAAATGATCATTTCTCAACTTATTCATCTTTTAAAACCATTTAAACAAGTCTTGGTTATCATTCAAAAAGGAAAAACACCTTCTCTTCATTTAGTTACAATTGTTATTTTAACATTTCGTCGAGCATTAGAGTCATATTCATCATTGATTGAATATAATAAAAATTATGAAATTGATCAATCAAGTGAAGATTTAAGTGAAAATGAAGATGAATATGTTGAAGACGAAGGTTCATGCTATGTTTAAATTATAACCTATTCATTTAGCAGCTACACTTTTACATCCTCGATATAGATTTTTGAAGAAATATTCCTTATATGAAGTGAGAGAATGTCATTTATATGTTCGACAACGTATGGCACAAATAAAATCGATGAAAACGAACAAATCAACATCTGATATTTCAGAAAAACATTCCTCAATGGTTAATAATGTAACATTAAATGAACTAATAAAGAAAAAACCAAAACGATTTGCAGAAGATTTTGAAGCTGGAAATCTTAGTGATGGATTTGATAATGAATATGATGATGAGTTAAACAAATATTTGAAACAACGTATTGATACAGAATCAATTGATGATAATCCATTATCATTTTGGTATCAAAATCAATTTACCTATCCTATTTAGTCTCAGGTGGCACGTTCGATTTATTCCATTCCAGATAGTACTGCTAATATGGAACGTACATTTAGCGGAAGTGGTATGATGATTAACTCCAGACGTACCGGATTAAATCCTGAACAAATCAACAACACCATGTTTTTACGTTCAGTAAGAAAAATGAGTGATTGTATTATAATTGTTTTTCATTTTTATATGTTTATTTATTTTTTCTATTTCGAAATGATGTTTATGCATTTAAAATATGTCTTGTTATCTCATGAAATAAAATAGTCATTATGAAAATTTAGTGAAAAATTTGTCGAGAAATAGTTTTTGAAAACATATTTTGGACGGGGCGGGGCGGTGACGGTTTCAATGCTGAACAGGCGGGATGGTGGCGGTGCGGAACTTTATTAACGGGACGGTGACGGTGCGATTTTTTTGCTGACTCGTCCATCTCTGATATGTATCACTGAAGAATACCGTGGAAGATACAACTGAAGGATCTATTGATTCCTATAGATAAAAGAAAACATATAGATATCTTTAAAAGAAATGCATTTTGAAAAATCTAATATATTCAATTGACAATTATATGACACGCGTGGTTATAAGGAAAAATAATCGAGTTTTACTGTTGATATCACTTTTGAAGTAATTTATATTATTTTATCCCATTTATTTTGCTTAAACTGAAGTATACTTGCATTTAGGATTCAATAAACTAAACTAATTTGTGATTTTGTCATAGTTCCCTTTTGAGTGTGTATTCTCTGGAATATATTTTCCTCATTGATTGATACTAGATAAAATAAAGTGATGCAATCTGTCAATTTTTGATTGTAATTCATGTATTTTTTCATTTGAAGTTGCTGATATCAAATAGCAACCTACTGCATTAGTAAGTTGATAAAAACTGTAAAGGTAATCATTCTGCATGGAGGCAACTCAAAGTAATCGCATAGTTACTCTTTCAGAAAAAAAAAGAAAGAGAACGACGTGCAAATAAAACAAAACTGCAAATATGAAATAAAAAGCAAGCAAGACGAGCACGCGTGCATTTCGAAAGCTATTGAAAGGTGGTAGTCTTTTACAATGGCGAGATGCGTCTCTACAGCTGCTGGTCTCGAAAATCAACAAAATAATGATCAAGTAACACGCTTAATTTTACTTGGTGTGACAGGTGGTGGTAGGTATCAATCTTTGTTCTTTTCTTGTCCAAAATGTTAAACATACTTAAGGAAGTGATTTTGTAACTATTTCCAAGAAATATTTTTTATTATTTTCCAAATTTACTGAAAACATTTAATTGGCAAATGATCAACTAGCTTTAAAATGACAGTCTTTTTCGAGAAAATTTTTGTGCTACACATTTGACTCTGAAAGAAAGCCTTTCATGATAATCGGTTCATTTGTGTTCCTAAAAAATGATAATTTTGAGAATAATATGTACTATTGCTTTTTTCGAAACTATATATTTGAAAAAGTCTCATCATTATTTTTAGGTAAAAGCTCTTTAGGCAATACACTACTGAATTATAAACAATTCATCTCTAAGGCATCGTCGGCTTCTATTACTGAATATTGTCAAGTTGGTTATCGTAATTTTAACAATCGACATCTTGTTATTGTTGATACCCCTGGATTCTTTGACAACAATGATATTGATGAAAAAACAACATGTATTAAAATTGGTCAGTCACTTCAAACTACAGTTCCAGGTCCACATGCATTTTTGATTGTACTTCCATTTACACGAGTAACAGATGAAGTTGAAAAAGGATGGACATGGATAACCACAATATTTGGTGAACGTGCATTAAATTATTGTATTATTGTTTTTACTGGTTTAGATAATCTTGAAGCAGATGAACAAACAGTTGAACAATTTTTAAACAATAGAATACCATCGTTAGCTAAACTGATGGAAAAATGTGGTGAACGATACGTAGCTTTCAATAATCGTGCTTTAACCGATGAGAAAAATACTAAAATTCAAGAATTATTAAATTTAATTGATCTTGTTATACGAAATAATGATAACCAAGTGTTCACTAATAAAGAAATTGACGCGATTAGTAAAGTTGTAGAAGAAGAAACAAAGAAGGGTTCATTTATACCAAATCTTCCAGATGGACGTATTATTTTGCTACCACAAACAGAAAAAATTGTTGTCGAAGCCTACATGCGCAAACCTGCTATTCCAAAATAAATATACATGCCGCAACGGTTTTATGTGAAAATGATTTTTATCATTTAGTTTTAAATTTGATTCTGACAATTCCATTGTAGAAAATAGAATTATTTGCCTTTTTTCTCTTGTCCAAATGTATTTAATTCTCTGTTTTAGATTATCACTAGATTATAATAAATAAAATAAAATGAATCTTTTATGGTTACATGACAACATTAGAGACCATGTAGAACTTGATAAACAACTAAAAAGTTTTGAAAAACCAATCATGAACTTCACTAATAGTCAATCATGTATCTCTTTTTTAACAAATTCTGAGCAGCAGAAGCATAGCCAACCATCGATTCTTATTGTTCTCAATCGAATAGGTCGTCAAATAGTTCCTGAAATACACTCATTCACAACTTTGTTATCCATTGTGATTTTTTGCACAAAAAATGATAACAAAATAAAGTGGGCAAGTAAGTACAATAAGGTTAGTTTTTCTATATCCTATAATAATGCATCTGAATTATGAGTGTTTCTATGTATAGATTAGAGGCATTTTTATAGATCCAAAAGAACTTGCAAAACATGTACGACAGATAATGAAAAAATCGGGTCTTGTAAGATAATCATGATTAGTAGTATGAAACTTTATTATTTATTAAAAGGTCAAATCATTTTCGTATCAATTAATGATACTTGATGATCATCCTAATGAAATACTACAAAATCAACTTTACCGACTTGATTCATCATTGATTGTCTTTAAACGAATCGATTTGTGCCTTAATTATGTGCGATCTACTGTACATATACATCCACTAATATTAGTTACTGTAAATGCATTAGGACGACAAATTGTGCCTGAAATTCATTCTGATAATCGATTGAATTCTGTCTTTATTTATTGTACCACAAACGGTGATAAAATAAAATGGACTACTAAATATAACAAAGTGAGCAGCAGTATAAGAAAAAAAAATAAAATTGAATTAAAATCATTTAGATAAAACTTGTAACAATGAATGTATCTGGCGTGATAAATAGTATAAGAAATGAATATGTATATGATAACACGGTATGTATTACTTTATGGTTGTACTAAAAAATCCAAGTATCTTTTCTAGTTACTTTGGCATCTTGTTTGTCTCGATGATCGTAACGATAAAGAGCTTCAAGGTCATCTGTACGAACTTGATCCTTCCATGTCAATATTTGATCAATTCGATACGTGTCAAAAATATTTTAATTCAGCTAATAACGTAATGAAGCCAACAATACTTGTTTCCATCAATAAAATGGGAAGACAATTTGTACCTGAAATCCACTCAAATGAACAATTGAAGGCTATATATATATTTATCTGTCCAGGCACGAACAATGATCAAAAAATCAATTGGACTAAGAAATATAACAAGGTACAACTGTATTGTGTTCTGTTTAATTTAGTTTTAACTTCATTCCCATGTAGATTAAATGCGTGTGCACCGATCTTAATCAATTGATTGCATATATTAAACTTGATGCTACTATGCTTGCACATAACATCATACGAAGTATGTAAATTGTCAGTCGCTTTTAATCATAAATACATCAAACATCTGCCATGATGCACATTTACTATGACTTGAACATTAATCTCAATAACTGCTTCTGTCTGTCGTTTAGATCCTCAAAAGAACACTAGCATTTCAACTCCTGTTACACATCTTGGTAATATATTCATTGGTTCTTGATAATAGAAAAAATAAATAAATTCAAAAAATTGTACTTTAAAGATATGCGAAATATTAATTTTATCTTTGAGCAAATATCAATATCTAACTTGTATGTTTTTTTCATCTTTTCAAGGACAATCAAGAAGTATAGAAGAGTCTGTAGTCTGCTGGCTTGATTCCAATATCGATCAAGCAAACAACGAATATCAATATTATACTACTCGACTACGTCGAATCGTGAATACTATTCGAACATTTATTAATGCGGATGATTGTGTAGATTATCTTACTGATGTAACAATTGAAAACATATTTCTTATTATCTCTGGTACTTTCTGTCAGCATATTGTACCATTAATTCAAGAAATACCAAACATTAACTCAATCTATGTGTTTTGTGGAGTGAACAAATCAAAGTATGAAGAGTGGGCTAAAAGATATTGTAAAATAAAACTAGTCTCTGCTGAAATTGAGTGCATCTGCCAGCTACTTGATCAAGATGTTCATCACGCAAATCAAAACTCAATACCAATCTCGTTTGTTCCATTGTTTGGCTCATTCACTAACATCAAGTCAGATCAACTCGACTCTTCATTTATGTATACTCAGTTACTCAAAGAGATTATTCTTGGAATAGAGTATGATGAAACTGCAATAAAAAATTTCATCCAATTTTATCGTGAGCAATTTGCTGATAACAATAATCGATTGCAAGAAATAGATAGGTTTGAAAGAGAGTATTCTGACAAATCTGCCATATATTGGTATACAGCACCCGCCTCAATTTACTCCATGCTTAATAAAGCTTTGAGAACACAAGATACTGAAACAATCGTTAAAATGGGCTTTTTTATCCGCGATCTCCATCGACAAATAGAACAACTTCATACGGAACAATTTAATAAAACTGAACGATCAATATTTACTGTGTATCGCGGTCAAGGTTTGTCTAAGGCAGACTTTGTTCGATTCATGAACAATAGAGGCGGACTTTTGTCTTTCAACAACTTCTTATCGACGACTATTAATAGAGAAATTTCTTTCGCTTTTGCTCACTCCAGTACATTCGATTCTAATTTAGTTGGTATTCTATTTCAACTGAAAATTGATCCATCTATTTCATCAGTCCCATTTGCTAACTTAATGCGGGTTGGCTATTTTCAAGAAGAACAGGAAGTTCTTTTCTCGATGCACACTGTTTTTCGAATCAATGAAATCAGACAAATTGAAAATAATTTATGGGAAATAAGTGTTAGCCTAACCAACGACAATGATGAGCAATTGAAAGCGCTTACAGAACATGTACGTCGTAATTTTTCAAGTGGTACGGGTTTTCAACGGCTCGCTGCTTTCATGCTTGAAATTGGAGAATACAGCAAAGCTATAAATATTTATGAGACATTACTCAGAGAGACGCGTTCTAATGAAGATCAGCAAGCAATTTCAGCAATACACAATCAATTGGGAGCGATCTACAGCCTGCAAGGAGAAACAGACAAAGCAATTACTCATTACTATACGTCATTAGAGATGAAACTTACCCATTTATCTCCTAATGATCCTTCTCTTTCTGCTGTTTACAGTAATATTGGTGGTGTCCTAAGGAATCAAAATCAATTAAATGCAGCTTTAGAATATATGGAACGTGCTCTCAACACCGAACTCCAAGCTCCACAATCTGATCCACTCAAAATTGCTTCTTATCACAACAATATTGGTCTCGTATTTACTGATATGATTAAATACGATGATGCGTTAACACACTATGAACAGGCGCTCGAAATTCAACAGAAGTACTTGCCATCGGTGCATCCTGAACTTGCCACATCATACAACAACATCGGTGCTATTTATAATGAACTTCAAGATTATAGTAAAGCTTTGTCTTATTACGAAAGATCTCTGGACATCATGCAGCGATCATTGCCCCCCACACATCCCGATTTCGTTACACTTTATAATAATCTTGGTGCTATTCATAATGAACTCCATGATTATAATAACGCTTTGTCTTATTACGAAAAATCCCTGGACATAATACAACGATCATTATCGCCCAATCATCCATCTTTGTCTCTTGTTTATCATAATCTGTCATTAACATTTTATCGTTTACATTTCTATACAACAGCACTAACTTATGGTGAAAAAGCCCTAGAAATTTTTCATCGTACATTGGAGCCTGACCATCCACAATTGATTGCATGTCAACAGAGTCTTGATGCTATTCGCGCAAAATTGTAATAAAAATACTTTATCAATGAGACATTATCTGCGATTATCTATTTTTCGTAAATTGTTGTATCTATATTCTTTTTGTTTTAGATTTTTCAATTAGCTTTCTATATACGTATTTATTCATAGTACAAGAGACCTAACAATTCGCTAAGGTCACATCTGAAGTCGACCCAATATTTCTGTTGCACATTGTAATTTTGTTGTAATTCTATTAACTCAACTGATAAAGTATGTTATTCGACAACGAAAATTTAAAGTCATACGTGTTTATTTTTCCTCGTAATTAGATTTCTGCGTATATCGTGAACAGAAGAAAAAGGCAAACTCAGAAGACAACTTATTGTGTTTTGAGGAAATGATATTTTTAACAAAATTGAATTATGAGTCAAATACTTAGAACGAAAATAGAAATAGAACGGAAAGAATATGTTAAAGAGTGTATCGAAATTGTGTAGCAGCAAAAGAGATTTTGCCTTCACGGAATTTTGTGTTTTAAGACTATGTTCATAAAGGCCTGGAATATTTTCAACCCTTTCGCTCCCGGCAACACATATATGTGTTCAAATGTATTTATCGGATAAGAGCCGTAGTAGTATATGTTTTAACCGTTTAGAAAAGCTTCTTATCGTTTGTTAGATGGTACCATAATGGTACATTTCTTCTTTCTTTTCCTTCTGTTGATATTTTTACTCATGCACATTCCATCCATATTTTCTGTCATTTTAGTGTGTTTCAGTTCAATCACTCTT